TAAAGTTATGCCACCACTTTGCATTTCTGTTATTATGGAATTGTTCAACTGTTGCTTTGAACTCCTGTAACCCCAGCCTGCACACAGTGGAAAAATTCTGGGTTTGCTTGCCTGAGCATGAGGTTACAGCTCACAATAAAGGGTTTGCTGCAGTTCCAGCTGAGTGTTCCTGTCTCCTGCATCATGGCAGGTTTCCTGCCTTCCTTTTGCAGGGATCCCTCTGGAGATTTGTTTCAAGGGTTTTGCTGATAGAGTAGAATTGGTATTTCCCAGGGCTCTACACTCCCTTTGCTTGGGAAGACTGTCTTTAAAGCCAGTATGCTCCAGTGGGAGCTCAGGTTGGATCTGGGCTCTTCAGTTTTATCAAAGCATCCCAGATTTTGACCCCTGATTTTCAAAATACTCAAAAATTTGCTGCTCAGTGAATTTGCCTGAATAATAGAGGAGCTCAGTAATAACAAGGGCATTTCTTAAAGCCAATTTTGAATAATTCTGATTAAGAGATTTGCCAACTGCAGGCCCAGCCCCTCAGTAGCCACTTTTTACACTGAAATACCTTTTCACCACTGTGGTAAGATTCTCTTGAAAGTTATTCTTACAGTTGCTGAGGTATTTAGGAAGGCAAAGGCCAGGAATAGGCCTAAGATGACAAGGTCATTTTTCACTCCTCAGATGAGCTTGATAAGGCTGAATTCATCTCCCTGGTGAGTTCTGTTTCACCCAAAAATAGCCTAAAAGTTGGCTGAGCAGCTTCACATCATCATGGTTCTCCTCACCTGCAAAAGGCTGTAAATGCCCAGAGAAGCTGTGGCTGCCCCATCCCTGGAAGTGTCCAAGGCCAGGTGGATGAGGCCTGGAGCAACCTGGGCTAGTGGGAGGTGTCCCTGCCTATGGCAGGGGGTGGAGTGAGATGATCTTTGAGATCTCTTCCAACCCAAACCACTCTGTGATCTTCTGTGTTCATCTTTATACTGAATTCCACATTCCAGGACCCCTTCTCTTCCCTTTCCTCATTAATTTCCTGCAGAACTTCCAGGACACATGCTGATAATGCCTGTTTGCCCTTTTTCCATCTCTTATCTAGTTTTATTTTCACCTGTTCACTTTCTCTTTATAGTGATTGCAGAAACTGTAGAAAAAAAATGTTAAAATAATACTCTTTTGTTTAGTATAGAGCAACTGCAACACAGGAAACCACACTGAAGGTATAATTAAGACTAAAAGCCAATCCAGTATTTCTGTGACACCTGCTGGGAGTTTATCTCTTTTCACAGTCTTTCACCAGGTTTTCTTTCACAGCTGACATGTTGGTTGATAACAGAAATAGGAAATAAAGAGGAATGAAAGAGCCCTGTGCTGTACAGACTGCTGGCTTCTCTCACCATGAAATGCTCAATAGTGAATTATGCAATTGTTGAAAAGCTATTAGCAAATACTGGAGTTAAAGGTGGAAAAAAGACTTAACAAGTGCAATATTTTTCCTTCTCTGATTTTAAAGAAACATCTTCCCAGCAAATAGAACAACTTACATAGCCATAAACTGATTTAAATCTTATTTTTCATACTTCTTGGATACTCCTTTGGTAACTGATTTCCTGCCCTATGCCAGATGCTGTTTTCATTCACAATGGAATAACAGTGCTCTGGGAGTGATATCACAGTATCATTGCACAGCTCTTATTGTGACTTCTCAAATTTAACGTTCTGAAATACGCTCTTTGTTGGTTGTGTGGGGAGTTTCAGATCTAGGGTTTGATTGAAGTCAGCCTATAAGAAAAAAAAAAAAAGAGAGAACAGAGCCTGGAGAACTTGGCCAGTTTGCAATGTGCAGAAAAACATGGAAACCAAAGAAGGACAAAAAGGAAAAATTTGACTATTTGATATATTCTTGTATAGGTGGAGGGAAAGCTTGAAATAAGACTTGTGTTAAGTCCTTGTTTTTTAGGTTTTGAGGTGGTGCAGGTATTTAATTACTGACATTGCCAAGGGATCTACCCTGTGCTCATGCTGGATGATCCAGATGATGCTGGATCAGCACGTGGTGTTGGCCAGGGGGAACACCTGGCTCAGGGCTGCTCTCATTTCACCCTCTGGCCACAGCTCCAGCTCTGCACCCACGTGCCAAAGGAAATGCACCAAATACAAATAATTTCTAGTTTTTCATCCAGACCCAGATTTAGGCCCTTCTAAACACAGGCCAGGAACTTTGCAGTTCCCTGTTGTGAACTGTAGTTTTCCTCTCATGCCAGCACAGTTCCATCCTTTGCTGGGATAAGGTTTATGAAAACTGGTGTATGTGTTTATGCCAGTGTCTGTGTGCATAGAAATGATTCTTTTGAAGGGTTATGTAAAGATATATTTTCCAGAAGACAGAACAAATAAAAGGAATCCAGTTGAGTTACTTAAGGCCTGATCGTGCATGGAGTGGAGCACTCTGAATTTTAAATGCAGATTAGAGCACTTACATCCCACAGTTCCCTCTAAGGTTGCAGGGTGTGTCTGTGTGTCTATGCATGTGTTTAAGCATAAATTGAGCTAAGGACGTAATTATATATGCTTATTCCGCCCCTTAGAAGTAAACTCGTAATTATGAAAAAGAAAGGGAGATGGAAGACATTCCTTTGGCAGTTGGGAAGAGAGTTTGCTAAGCAGACACTTCTTTTGGATTGCTTTTTAGCCTTTCCCGTCAAAAAAAGGAGCTGGCAAATGGGTCTGTGGTCCAGCTGTATTTTCAGGAAGTATGGAAAAGGTCTCATTAGACTTTCGAAGAGACAAGAGGGAGATATTTATCATACACAATGGAATATTGATGTATTTAAATGTGCTGATCTAGGAGATTTTAAAAAATAGAAAATGCAGTCAAATTTTGCCTTCTTTGTAGTCCACTGAGACTGCACCAGGTAATATGTTGAGGAAAAATTTAGCCAAAAGCAGTTTTGAGGTAAACTATTAAAATGCAGATAAATGAAGATGACTGCTGACCCCAAGGATCTGCATTCACGTGGCGAAGGTTTCATTACTCACACTGCAATGCTTTCTGAAGTATATTTTTGTATCATCATTTCCCATTTTAAATTCAGCTCTTAAATCCCAAAAGGGAATTAACTACCAGCCATTTGCATTTTAAAGGGAAAACTCAAACCTCAATAGAGTGCTCTACTTAAGGCTCCTTTTATGTAACTTAACCAATGAGCTGCATCTTGGTGGAGACCTTGGGGAGTCAACCAAGTGACTAGGACAAGGAAAAGCCTAGACTTGGAGGAATCCTAGTAATTTGCTTCAGAAAATGCTGAATATGCTGATATCATTGTGAAGCTCTCCTGCAAAATGGTGTTTTTTGTTATTGTAGGGCAAACTGTCTTTAAAGTTGTGGGGGAAAAGGAATCTTCAAGCCTTAGTGAGCTGGGAGGGGAGAGCACAGGCTGTTCTCTCTTCCTGTGTGTGAGGGAAAATCACAGTAAAATAAAGTTGTAAAATAAAGGGAACAACTTTGAATTCAGCCCTTTGCAAGACATGAGAAAAGACTGTTGGAAAGTTACAGGATGGGGATTTTTTTTTTTTTTTTAAGATCTCTCAGGAGCTGACTCATCTTCTGAGAAAATATGATTGAGGAGAAGAACTGAGGGGGCTGTGCTCCGCCTCGGGCCATAGGTCTGGGGTGGAAGTTGTAGGCAACCTACTCCTTCCCTTGGAGACACCGGGATTCATCTTCTCCTCACATGGCCCAGTTCCTTTCAGCTGTGTTCTGCTCTTTGCCTTTATTCACCTGACACTGACTTCAAATACATATATTTCTCTATTTCTTATAACCACAGAACCTCTATCCCAACTTCTTGCTGCTGTAGGAGTTTAAAACTGCCAAAGCACTGCTACGTCTCATTTTCTTGTGGCCCCTCCAAAGAACTCTGTTTCAAAGGTTATAAAAACCCTGGAGCACAATATGAAGCCTCTCTCTTGAATGAGTTTATAAATCAATAGTGCTGGGGAGCCCTGTCTGCATTTGGGGCATTGTAATAAAAAACTTGTAGAGTGAGTTTAGGCGTATGAGTTCCTGTGACTGTAAATTTGAGTATCCCGCTGATTTTTATTTTTGTATTTTTTTCCCCCCCTAACTCTCAGTTGAGGACCAGGCTGCTGATTAGACAAGGCCCCTCGGTTGCTTCCCAAAGGTGACAGTGCTGGAGGGCAAAGCTGCAGGTCCCTGTGGCTCCTGAAGCACAACTCCTGCGTCTCCAGGGTGTGCATTTCCAGCACCTAAAGTAAATATTCCTGTGTTGAAATAAGAAGAATGACTGGGTGGTTGGGAGCTGTGAGGCTCCTAAGGGTGATTGTAACAGGAAATGTCTTAATATTTGTTTAAATAGAATGATGCAAACTGCAGCTTTCTGTGCTGATACTGGATTAAAGTGAGAAAGGAGGGTATTTTTGGAGTTATTTTGCTTCTAAGTGGACCAGAAAAATAAGCACTTAAAGGTATCGTGCAGCTGATGGAAATCTACAGTTCCCAGTAATTTGCATCAACAGGCATGGTGTGTCTCCTAGACATTTTAAATTCCTTGTTGCCTGTTCCTGTGTCATCAGTTCCTTCCTCACACACCCTGTTGGTTGCAAACTGAGTAACTACTCAAACAACTGATGGGGAGAAATAAAAGGTGACTTTGGTGTGCCGTGAAAGAGCTTGTTAGCACAGGTTACTCCATGATGCCGATGGAGCAGGCACTGAATCAGACCTGATTGTGGAGGGCGGGGTAGATTTTTTTACTGTTGAATTGCACTTCTCTTCAAAGCTACTGCAAATGATTCCACGTTTATTCAGCAGAAGTCTTGAGGTTTTCATATTCCATCTTTTTCGTTGCTGTGCCATTTGTTAAGATGATTTGGCTTTTAATCTACCAAGGAATACTAAATGAAGAGTTCAATCATGAATCAGATCTCTTCTTTTGCTTGCCAGTAACACAAGCCATTTTTATTTTCCATTTCAGGTTTCTTTTACAGTAGAGGACAAAAATAAATTATGAGTGAAAAGAAGTTAAAATTGTTCCTCTTGAGCAACTCTCCTGCATCAACGCTTAATCCTTCCAGTATGCCTGATGTCATTAATCATTCTGCTGTAATATTTGACACACACCTTTGTGGGACAAATTAAGATCTAATATAAAAGCTGCAATAATACTGACTTATGTGGAACTGCAGCTAATTATAACATATTTGAATTTTCATCTTTCATAGAAGACCTCTATAAAATGAACCACCTTTCACACTGATGAAATGAGACTGAGACAGGCAAGCAGATGAGGGGAGAGGGAAGGAACATCCAAGGACAACAAAAGGAATCTCAGCACCATAATGAGCCAATATCTGTGGAAAATATGCTCAGTTGATGGTGGATTCTTTTTAATTGTGGGATTTTTTTTTTCTCTTTAAGTTTTCAGATGGCTTTCCTACCACGACTGTGGTGCTCAGCTTATTTAACCTGGAGTGGTTTGGTTGCCTTGATACATGAACGACTGATCCTGCAATCTTCAGAGATTAAATGTCACTTCGTCTTCACAGGTGGACTAGAAGAAATAAAGAAGACAGGATGCCATTGCAGGAAGATATTACAATGCAAGAGGGTGAGAGTTTACTACATATTTTCTGCAATGCAGCCTCTCCTTCCTCTCTGCCCCCAGTGTCTTCATGATGCCTTTATTTGTAGACCTTTAGACCCTCAGTTTTTGAGTTCCCTGTGTCAGGGTCAGTGTTTCTGTTCAGCTCCTTGGAGAAGCATCAGGCTTTGCTCTGCCTTGAGATCCTGCCAGTGCCCAAAGCCTCAGATCCATCTGGAGAGAGATAATGAGCAGCATAAATTCCCAGTTTGTGTATTAGCTAAAAAGGAGGTTAGGCTCTGCTATTTCTGCATTTGGGATCCTCAGTCTGAGTGTAGAATCATTACTCTATTGAATTATATATCACAGGTAATTTCATTTCCTGGATAGTGAATCCTACAGATGTGCAACTCCACCCCAAAATGGATTCCTTATGTCTCTCAGACACTGCTTTTGCCTTGGGTAGTCTTCAGAAAAACAGTTAAATTCACCATGATCACTGGTTTTGCCCTCCATCTAGAAATGTGAGGAAATCATAGACTTTGGCACATTTTCTGGATGCTGAGATTCATGTGCAGGGTGTTGAAGGAGCAGCAGCTTCCTTTAGCAGCCATGCTCTTGTTGTGCTGGCCTTAAGCATCCTGGATTAATGTATTTTTCATTTTCCAATGCAATTCTACCTTTTCCCTGTGCTGCTGCTTCAGCAAAGCAGTAATATCTCCAAACCTAACTGAAGGGTTATTTTGAAGTTTGTAGTTCCAGGAGAGTGGGGATTTATGCCAGGATTGTTTCCTTAGCAGTGTGTAGACAAGGACTGTGCTGCTAGAGATGAACACACCACAAACTGCTCTTCACGTCTACCCACTTGAAACATCTCAGCCCACCTGTGTGGAAGCCAAATTAATGGCACTGTTTCAGGCATGGAACAGAGCAGTGGGAAAATGGCCATAGAGTTAAGGGTTCATAGATACAATGAAGGGCAGATTTTCTCCCTTCTCTGCCAAGCCTTTTTGAAGATGTTTTTGAGCAGAAATAGAAAGGCTTGTTGTCCACCACGATTTACTGTGTCACTTCCTTTTCACAGATTCCTGTGCTGCTTCTCCTCACACCTGCAATTATTCCTGCAATTATTATTTATCGCTGTTTTTATAGTATGGCTCCACTTGCAATGCGTCTGTTCTTATTTATTTTCCAGCCTTTCAGTTTCCTAAACTTCACTGTATTCCCATAGAAATCACCTTTTTGTTTCTAAGCTCCTGTCTGCCTTGTGTTATCTCTCAAGGCCTGGAAGCTCTCTGTGCCTTTTTTGTTGCCCTCTTTCTATGGAACATCTTCCTCCTCTCTGTATATCTTAAAGCCAATTTCTCCTGCAGTTGCCTCCATCTCACTGCTGCTGAACTTCCTACGTCTTGTCCCCAACGTGTTGTCCTTTGAGTCACAGATGGAAGGCTGGGCTGCTAAACTGCAGGAACCCTGGACTTCCACACAGAAATGTTGCAGCCAAATATAGATGATCGATTCCAGAGCACGTTGGCAACCTTCTGATGTTATTTCTGGATTTGGAGAAGTATTATTTCCCACAGGCACTTACATAGCTGGATGTTGATCACGTTTTAGTTGGCTAATAACAGTTTTGCACTGCTTTGTGTCCCTCACACAGCCCTGGTGACAGGCAGAGGTTTTTTTCCAAGAGTTGGGGCAGTTAATTGTGTATAATTTGTGCAAGTTGTACACTGTATTTTTTCTAGGAGCACTGTTTAGTATTTCTTATATTGCTGAATTGTGTTCAGCAGTAATAATATTGTATGATTGCAATACTCCAATAATAAGTAAAAAGGAGTTCTTTACTAAATCCCACCACATGCTGTAGTAGTTTTCTAACTTCAGTTTGCATTCTACCTCCTAAAACCCAGACTGACTGAACCCTACCTCTGCCAGCTCTTCCTTGCACATACTGGCACATAGAGCAAATGATAGGATCTTCCATTTAAATCTTCAGTGAAGATTTTTAATTAAAAGAGCTGTATAATATTACAATTCACAGGCTAGATTGATTTTATGATTTTTTTTTATTTTTTTTTTTGTGGAGTTTAAGAGAATGGTGAAACTATTTGAAGACTTTCTTACTTCTCTGAACTCGTTCTCCAGGTACTGGCAGGATCTCATCAGTTTGCTAAAGTTGCTGCTCCCAGAGACTTTAATGGTATACCAAATACATTTCTCTATGAATTCTGTTTGCTCCTTTTATCTAGAGTTTAACATTACCCTCTCAGAGCACATTTTTGCAATCATAAATATGCTCTTTCTGTTTACACAGTCATGGTCTTGCAAGTGCTAATGGGCAGAGATGTTCACTTGAGAATTTCTTACAGAATAAACAGTAGCAGCCAAAGGTGAGGATGAGATTTCTAGTGCTTCTTTAGCACTGATGTCCTGGGGATGGCACCGAGAGCCCTGGGAACAAGCATGTGAAATGGGATTCTTGGAAAGTTAACAGCAGGAAGGGTGTTCTAGGGAATGCTGCAGCATTGATTCAAACTGGTGCTGTTGTCACAGGCAACAGACAAGTACCAGTGCTCACCTGGAAGAGATCTGTACACTGAATTAACCACAACCATTGAGAGTGCCGGCACACCTGCAGTAACCCCTTCTCCCATGTTGACAGCAGTCATCTGAAAACAGTCTTTTCTAAAGCCTTTCCATGCTGAAGGCCATTGGGTATTTTTTCCCAGCTGCTGGAATGCCATTTGCATCTTGCTGTATCTCCATCTCCCTCCCTCCCCTCCTGCAGTCGTATGAATTTAGTTGCATCACCAAGGAATGAACAAGATCTGGTGGCTTAAACCTTTGTTTTTCTGGGGCCTTTTAGTCCTGGGAGGACTGATCTCTGTATGACGGGGAACGTGTTATAGGATAACACTTGGAATCAGGGCTGTCTCAGTCAGGGTTGTGAACGTGAATTAATACTCACCAAGCACTACGTAAATATTAAAAGTATATTAATTTATATAGCACTTTAAATACTATATAAATTCAACCTCCAATGAAAGCTTCTATCCAAAGATTTATAAAGAACTTGTACATTTTTACCTGGGAAGGGAGAAAAATCCCTCCTTTTCTCAAACAAGAGAAAAGCCTAACTCAGAATGTCTTGTTATTTACTCATGTATTTATTTTACACAATAAAATATTTACATTAAATGTGTCAGTTTTCAAAAACAACTCGTTACTTAATTTTTCAACTGAATTTGGCCAAGTGGAAAAGGAAATTAAATATGCCAGAGGACTGCAGTAAAAGAGATATGAGTTTTCAAATTGTGTGAGAAAGAGACTATAATAAATGACCAGTGGACTGGTCAGCTGTTTTAATTAAAACTGGGCTTATTGATCTATCATAGATTTGCCCCATTTGCAACATTTCGGCAATATTCCTATTTCAGAAAATAGCACTTGGAAGAGACATTAAAGAACATGGAAGCTGCAAATGGAAAGGTTTTATAACTATGACATTTTGTACTATGGTCTTTTTCCATCCTATATTAGCACCTCACATATCTTCATACAAAAAGGCATAGATTCTATAGAATCTATAGGATAGTCTATCCTGGTCTGGTGGAAGGTGTCCCTGCCCATGGCAGGGGGGTGGAACAAGATGAGCTTTTCCAACCTAATCCACTGTGTGATTCCATTATACTGCTTTTCTAACTTAATTCTTATGAGTTCACTGTTTATTTGTGCTTAAAAAAAACAACCCTAAAATATATTGGTTTACATCAGATTTTTCAAGGTGTCGTGTTCTTCAAACCAGTGGGATCTTTTAGTGGTTGCATCTTCAGTGTGGGCATTTGTCATGCCTGAACTGATTGATGTACATTTCTATTGGGAAAGCTAAATAAAGTACTAAAAAGGGGATAATAATTGTTCTGCACCAACGTGGAAGGACTGTGGTATCAGCAGCTTCTGTTGGTAGCTCTGATTTGTTCCTGAAAGGCTTATTTTAAATTTCTGTTTATAAGTAATGTGGTGAAATTCAAATAGCCTCAATGCAAATCTGGCACAAATCCCCTTGGTTTTTAAGCCAGAAATGTGTCTTTAAATAGTGGCTCCAACAGTGGCAGAACATCTGCATTGGAAGCAACCGGTGCCGTGCTCTGGTTGAAAGGAAAGGCACGGCTGTGTCACACCCATGGCTGCACAAACTGGAGATGGTGAATGTGATGTTTAATTAAATATTTAATTAAATACGTGTCTGTTGTTTAATAAAAGTTTATGTTTTGCTGTGTTTACAGAGGTTGGCAGCACATGTGTTGTCTTCTCTTCCAGGTAGTGCCTGGTGAGTATCCAGTGTTGGCAGCAGGATGAAGAAATTGATGATTATTAAATAGTTGTATTTTAAGAATATATATATATATGTATATAAAAGCACAACTGTATCGAGTTTCATTGTGAACCAAGAAGGGCTGGGAACTTGCTGCTCCCACCATGGGTCAAGGGCTTTAAGGAACCAGGAGTGGATGTAGAGCTGGTTTTTTGAGTGGGAAACCTTGTTGTTTTCTTTCTAGATGAGGAAAACGCCTCCCTTGGCTTTTCCTACCCCAGAGCCCCCTCGCTCACCGCAGTGCTGGGCAATGTTCAGTCCACAGACCCCCATACAGCCCACGGCCTTTTCGGGTTAATGTCTGTGTCAGAATGGGGTGACAAAGGCGGGGTGCCGGCGGTGACGCGGCCCAGTCACAGCCCGCGAACTTTCCCCTCAGGGTTCCCCTCAGCCCCGGCCGCCATTTCCTGCCGGAGCGGCCCCGCCCTCTCCTCTCCCCCTCCTATTGGCTACCAGCGGCACCGGGGCGGGCCTCCGCTCCCTTTACCTCGGTGGGCGGGGTCTCTCCGTAGCGCTGCGCGGCGATTGGCTAGGTCGTGGCTGTCAGTCCTGGTGCGGGGGCGGGGCGTTTGGGCGAGGGCGGGGCCCGCGGGGGGCGCTGCGGCCGCAGTCGCGCTCGGGCGGCGGCGGTTGATGGCGCGCGGGCGTTGAGCTCCGCGCTTCTTGCCTGCCTTCCTGGTGCTCCTCGGGCCCGCGGTCGCGCTCGCGGATACATAGAGGTGTGTGCGGGCTAGTCGGGGCGTGTCTGTGCGGCGGCTGGCCTCCTCCTAGGGGTACCTGCTGCGCCGGCGGGAAGATTAAGCGGGGTTCGGGGTGTCTCGGCGGGTGTGGAACCCACTCCACCTTGTCCGGCCTCCCCGAGTCCTTCCCGCGGCGGAGAGTTCGCGTTTTCCCCGTGGTCTCGGGAAAACCGCATCCCTCAGGCCTCTCACCTGGCCAGGAGCTCCGTGTCATTGGGATGCTCGGGGCTGGGTTTTTTTTGGGAAGTGACCTCGGCATTCTTGGCACGGGCGCAGAAGCGGCGAGCTTCAGATGAGTCTGGAAGAGTGTTAAAAGGCAATGTCATAGAGAAAAGCCTCGGTTAAACGAATCCATTTGTTTGTTGATGGATCCTAAGTAAATCTTCGGGTTGGAACTGGTACCTTGGCTTTCGGTGGAGATGCTTCAGCCGCGTGTAAAGGTTGTGCATTTCACTTAGAAAAGGCTTAGATGCTTATATGTATAAATATCTATATACATATATATAGATATATGCACACCCATATACATATATAAACAGACGTATACATATATGAATATATATATATATAACTTTTGTCTATATGGAATATATACTGCATTTGTATATATGAAAGTAATTGCAGGGGGGAAATTCCATCTTTGTCCCTAAAACCAAACACTCGTGTAATTCAGCTCTCTTAACAGCAAGATGAGTAGGGGAAAATCTTGCTGTTTTAAAAACTTGATGCTATAACCTGTGTATTAGAGGGAAGCATCAAAACAAGGAGCAAAGTACATGCTGAGCTCCAGACACGTAAATAAGGGTTTAATAGTCTACGCCTCGGTGTTGTTTGGAAATGCAAAACAGCTGCATCTGTCTTGTGTAGGTTCTGGATTATTTAGGGAGAGAGAAAGAACAGGCTTGTGGCTGCTTGTGAATGGCTTGATTTGAGAGTTTACAGTAAATTTTGGCTAGCTTGGTTAAGCAGAACATGTACCTTAGTGTGGTGCAAAAATCCAAAGCCTTGAGCTGGCGATAATTCCTAACGGGCACTAAACTGGTTTTGGATATTTTTAATATGTGCTGTGTGGAGTTGGTGTAGTCCATGATTTCTACTTGTTTCACTGCTACTGAGGAACAGTATTCCTCCTGCTTTGCACCAATCCTTGTCTTAAATTCCTGTAAATCAAGGGAACATGCTGACAACTGTGGAAGAACTTGTACGGAGGTTCTCTCGTAGGAAGGGTGGTGGAGCTGCTCCGAGGGTGTGGAGCTCATCCCAGCTCAGCTTCCTTGGCATTGCCTTGATGGTGGGGAGTGTCCTGGCTGCTGGTGTCACATCCAGTCCCTTCCACCTGTTTGGAAACTCCTCCAGCTGTAGGTCACTTCCTCCCTTACACTCGAGGCAAATTTGGCTGCCATGCACATCCCTCTGGAATCCACTGCTTATGGACATGTGCTACGAGATACCAGCTCGGAAAACATGATCTGTGGTTTTATTCCGAAGCCTGGTGTCCGTGTGATGAAGCAGATCCCAGGGTTTGCCAGTGCCAGGGTTTGGCACAGAGGGAGACCGGCAGTGTCTCAGCTCGGCTCCCCCAGCCCCTGAGAACAGGGGTATTGACCTTTTGGAAAAGGATTAAAGTGAAACCATTCCTGTAATGCAGTTTGCATCCTTGGAAGGCATGGAATCTACCTTTGTCTGCTGGCACTGTGGCATTCTGATCCTTATTTTTGCTGCGTCCTCTCCCATTGTCTCGCTGGTAGGGGACTGGGGGACTGCAGCTCTTGAGAGAGAGCTTTTCTCAAGAATCTCTCGATGCAGAGATTAGGAAGCTAAATGCTT